TACATTTATATTGTACCATGTGAAAACCTGGGATAATTATTTTCAGAAAAATCCAATATTTGGCTGAATGAAGACACAAATGTCAACCCCAATGTGGCAAAGACTGGTGTTGTTGGTCCAATAAGATTCCAGTGGTTGGGACAAAGGAAAGAACATATCAAAGCTGGCTCAGGTCTGGGTGATGGTGGCAGCCCCTCCGGGTTCCAGGTGGGGGCAGGCAAGCCGGGGCCAAAGGAAACACACACTTGGGGCAGCCCAAGCCTCCATCCTCCTGCCCCAGAGCAGCTGGGAAATGGTGGTAGTGGTAACAACAGCAACAGTGATGTTATCAGCCCCCTTGGGAGCACCCTTACCAGTGTCACCCTCTATACATGTAAGTAAAATGTGACATGTTCGTCACCACTTCCTCTTTGATACATGGCAGGGCTTTACTGAAAATAGGAATCTGCTAGGAATTCAAGAGGAAAAAAAATCAAACTGAAGCTTCAAGCACTGAAGCTTAAACATGCCCTTCAATTTCTACGTCCTAAGTGATATCACACTTTCCTGCCACCATATGTCACTATTCTACCCAGACGTGGTGTGTGTGTGTGTGTGTGTGTGTGTTTCATTAACTTACCCCATGGTTCTTTATTATTAGAACATTTCCTTCTTTGTTTGTCACTTGGACAGTGTTAAAGGAATAAAATGGCACCTTCCAAATGTTCCATTGGTTCTCAGAAGGCTCCACTCCCCGGCCCAGTTCTGCCACAAGGAAGCTTTTCTAGATCATATTTCTAGGGCTCCACTGCACCCAGAAAGGATCTCAATATTCTCTGCACACACTGCATAGAGTACTTATCCTTGCCACCACTCCTACAATGTGTGTATTTTTAGCTTCTTTTACAAACCCAGAAGAGACTGCACTCACTGGGGGACACCAAATTTCATGGGAGTTGGGGACAGGAGAAAACAGACCATCTTTCACCGGAGCCAGACCACTTGCTACATGCTGACACTGTGGATCTTACTGGAATTCTCACAACAGTTTCCATGTGGTAGCTCTGCTGGATAGGTGTTAAAACCAGCTCCAGAGAGGTTCAGGAGCCTGCCCAAGGGCGTTTGCACCCAAGGCTCCTGAACATGCAGAGAACCCCCCATCACCCTACTTCCCTCTGCTCTGTGGCTCATCCCTTCCACCACGGCCAGTGTGAGAACAGGTTGATGGCCTCACTTGTCCACTAGTTTCTAAGTCAACCAAGAGATGTGATCAAACTCTGAAAAGCACCCATCTCTGGCCACATGACCAGGAGCCCAATGTCCAGACGGTGAGACGGAAGAGTGTACTGTTTCCCCCATCCAGTCTATTGCTGACCTTTGAATCTGGCATTAGGAACAGCACCTCCAAGAGCTGTCTACAAACACAAGCCTTTCCAGAGATCCAGGAATTCAGAAGCAACCTTTCTTTGAAAATAGTGGAAGGGCCTGGAGGCCATAGGGAGGAGACATGGAAGGGCAACACCAGAACTCTGTTCGACTAGAGGCTGGTTGTCCTGGAGCTGCAGGAATAGATGGCATTGTTGCACAGCGCAGAATGGGCCACTTGCTCATAGAGGGCTATTAAAGGATGCCTCGGCAGAATTCTGTAAGTACCTTACATCCAGACTTAGCAAGACACTTATGCCGTGTCCCCACATATGAGACAGAAACAAGCGTTCCATGGTGATTAGATGGACTTGGAGATGGCTCATCATCAAAGAGTCAGTTTGCTGCCAGATAGAAGACAGTGATCCAGGCGCCCCGAGAGCCTCATCCCCTACTGTTTATAGCCGTGTGTGTCCTCTACCGCACGAATTCAGGGATGGCCCGTTATGCCCAACACAGTGCCATGGAAATGCTAGTGTGTGACATCCAAAGCTAGGACACAGAAGCACTGTGTCTTCTGTGGTAGAAACTGGCCACAATGTCATGGGGATACTCAAGTAGTTCCCGTGGGAGGTCCCAACTGCCTGCAGCCACCTGCCTATCATGTGATTAGGCCACCTCAGCTGGGGTTCTCCAGCTTTTGGCAAGCCTGCAACAGCGCTCATGATGTGGGCCACACCAGGACTGGCCAGCTGAGCTTCTCCCAAGCCCTGACCCAGAGAAACCAAGAGAGATATTAAACAACTATAGTAGTTTGAAGCCACTAAATTCAGGGTGACTTGTTGCACTGGCACAATAACTGGAATACAGAACCTCACCATCCTAGGAGGGCTGCCCGTAGTGCCCTGCTCTAGAACTGCCCACGCCTTAGTCTGAGACAAACTGAATACAGATGCATTGTTTAGCTTTGTGCAAAACCTGCGACTGAGAGCCATAGCAAGTGGACAGAATGACAGAGGCAGGACCCAGGATGACCTGGAGTGCTGAGCGGAAATTACTGGGGTAATTTTCAACAGAAGCAAGATGATTAGATTAGAAAATTCTCTCATTATGCAAAGACAAGCCAGGGGAGACACAGGGGCATGGCAGCACAGGTGGCTGCAGTCTCAGAATGGGTTAGAACGGGGTGCTCAGCACAGCTCATGGAAGCACTGGACCTGGATAAAGGAGGTGAGTTCCCTGCCTGGGCTGAGCCCGCCAAAAGGAGGACTGAGTTAGCTCTTTATTTGGGACACAAGCAGCCCAGTCCTGCAAAGCAGACTGACAGGAATGGGTAGAGGTCTCCTGAGGGAGATGGACGAGGAAGGGAGAAAGAAGTGAGGGTACGCAGTCCCAAAGGAGAAGGTGATGAGGGCCCCAGACCAACAGAGCTATTGTTTTTAAACACAGAAAGATCCGTCCCAAAGCTGGCGATCCTGAGGACAAGGATGGAGTGGAGTAGGAAGAGACCCATTTTTAACCCAGTGTGGGGCAGGAGTCCAAGTCTCAAAAAAGCTGAGAGCTACCAAAATGTAGAGCCACATGACAACAGAGAAAGTTTAAGGTCAAGCCCACAGCCTGGGCCAAGCAAAGTGTGGTTGCCCCTGTGTCTGAGGGCAGGGTGGGAAGAGAACTGCCCTTTCTGGCCCGAGCACCCCTCCTGCTGCAGCTCTGGGATTGTGTGAGAGGAGCCTGCTGGGTGAAGTCACCACAGGGGTTCACCCACTCCAGCAGGATCTGGCTAAAGTGCAGGTTCTGAGTGAGCACAGCTGGGGTCACACTGAGGCTCCATGTTTCTATCATGGTCCCAGCAGACCCTCTGGCCTGTAGGCTACACTTAGCAGGGAGAACACGGGAGTGACAGCAGATGGGACCAGGCCACCAGGCAAAGCAAAGGGCAACTGTAAAGTCCTCTAGCACAGGATGGATGACACGTGGGAGACATGTGCATGAAGAACAGGACTCTTGAGTGTGACGGGAGAAGCTCTAAGTGCCACGGAGGGCTTGCTGACCCTATGTCCTTTGATTCCCAGATCAGTCTTTAGGGTATCTATGACTGATACCCTAAAGCTTGGGCTCTATGTATCCTTTCGAGTCGGACCCAGTAGCATCTTGTCAGTCCGTACTGAGGCACCCCCACTAGCTTGGTGGCCCCAGTTTCTTAGCATGTAAATGGGAGTCATGTCCGCTTGTGAGGCTGCCTATGCCAAGCATCATCCTGCACATAGTAAGTGCCTGATACATGTTTCGTACCCTCATTACACCATCAAGTAATCAATAAACATTTGTTCCCTCCACTACAAAGATGAACTGCCTAGTGAATACTAGTCTCTGACTTGAGCTGCCCTTCATCTACCCTAGAAGTACAGGGCCATGGATGAGATGTGGTCCCATTTTACAAACGATAGTGAGTTTTTTTCACCTAACTAATCAGGCAAATTCTGGCATGGGCATCCAGCATCCCTCCTGCTGGACTTTCAGGAACTGGTTTATCTGAAAGGTTCTTGCTGTTCCTTGAGAACAAAGCCAGATCAGCTACCAGATGCAAACAGAAAGAAGGGACAGTCAGCCCAAGGACACCTCAGTCACAGCCCCCAGGGACAGGTGAGTGGAGTGGACACCCTCCGCACCTGACTGCCCCATTTCTCTGGACAAGTGAGAGCTGTGAGGAGGCTGAAAAGGAACTGGGCCCAGCCAGACCTGCCCCCAAGGAGAGGTAATCAGTAAGATGCCCACATGATTCCAACGCAGTCACCCTGGGGAAACTGAGGCACTTTGCTTCCTTTGAGCCAAGGAAATGCTTGGCCTATTGTCTCTGCAACGAGCGGCCCATAAAGAATCCACTTTTCTCTTCCTCCTTCAGTCTGTGACCAATAAGAGGACCAAATATGTCCACTGCACTGAAATCTTAGTGTGCAATCCTTTCTCAGGGACCCTGCGAAGACCCCCACGTGCTGTGGCTCATCCAGCAGCAGCTTCTGTAGGTGAGAGCCTGACCTTGGGCTCCCTCAGACCTCCGGAAGTAGGCCAGCCCACCACTCTCTGAGCATCACTTTTCACACCTACAGAGGTGGTGGGGAGTTGTAATATTTGCCTTGCTGGGCTCTTTAGGGAAATTAAATGAAATATCACTGTAAATAGTAACGGGCCGGTAGATGGTATCCAAAGGCTGTTCTTTTTTCACTCTTTTTCCCCGGGGAAAAAAAAAAAATTACTAAGGAGTGCTCCAGAGATCCTGGAGCTATCGCGCTAAGGCGATTTCCTCCTTGGTTTGAGATGTCCTTGGTGTCTCCTGGATTCTGAAGACTTCAGCCTTTGGCCCTGAGGATCCCAGCTGCTGTCCACCTCCCTGCGGCCGCTTTACCATCCCTCTTCTCCTCCTGCTCTCCCGCCTCCCGAACCCCCAAAACTTTCAGCTGGCCCCTAGCCGAAGGGTGTTCCAAATCGCAACCTGGGAGGAGGGGGGCCGTCAGCGCCGCGATCGCCCCTTGGGTGATCCCAGCCGCTGACCTCTGTGGGGCTCCGGGAACCCCAGCCGGCCGCGGAACCCGGGCGCTGGGGACTGCTCTGCGGTGCAGCCCTCCGGGGCCCCTCCGACTGCGGAGCTGCCGACCGCAATGCAGACGCCGGTCCTTCAGCCTTGGCCGCGTCGAGCTCCTCCGGGCGCGAGCCGCCGGGTCCGTGCGCCCTACGCCCGGGGCGGCTTCCCCAGTGCGCGCCTCTCGCAGCCAGGTCTTGCGCACTCCGAAAGCTTTGGCCTTCCCCTCCCCCGCCCGCCGCCCCTGGCCCCCCGGGGGTGGGGTTTCCCTCCGCGATCGCCCCTCCCGCCCGCCCCTCACCACCGGTGCTCCGTCCCCTCCCCCGTCCGCCCCTATGTATGTGTCACCGCGCCCCATGCCCGCCCACCTACCTCCCCGTGCTTCCAGAGGGGGCTCGCAGAGCTGAGGACGCGCCCGCCCTGCACAAGGTCTCTCGCTCTCTCCCTCCGTGGCAGCACCTGACGCGGGTGCCAAGGGGCTCAGGCACCTTTCTGCGTCCCTTCCCTCGATCAGCTGCAACTCCGCAACCCAGCCGCTGCCGCTGCGGCCACCGCCCGAGGGGATCTACGGACAGGACGCCGGCAGGAGGAGGGGTGCGCAGCGTCCGCGCAGTGTCCCCTCCCGTGCACAGCGAGACCCAGGCCTCCGGGCCCCGGGAGTCCCTGGCCGCCTCACCAGGTGCACTCAAGTTTTTGGAGGAGGGAGTCCAACTCTTCAAGGTAACTGTCACCTTCCCTTGGGAAAAGGCTCTCTCCAGGCGTTGGAGAGAGATGCTGGGGAGCGTGCCTCGGGCGGGGGAATGCGCCCCCTCCGTCTTCCCGCTGGGGCTCCGCACATCCTCAGCGGTTTCCGCAGAAGAGTTGAGCAAACTTTCCGGCTCCTGCGGACTCAGAGTGAATGGAGCTGAGGAACTTGGGAGGAGGGGCTCTTCGTGCTCACAATGAAGGAACCGGAGCTTTGCGCCACGCTCCCGTGTGCGTTCAAGTCCTGGGGAGGGAGGATGCAGGAATGTGCGATACATTCCCACGGTCAAAGAAGCGTGAGTTCAAGCCCTCGCAGGGCCTCTTTGGGTCTGGTGGAGACTTCAAGTTACTGAGTCGGTCACCTGGGAATGACAGCTCCTTCTTGGTGGGGAAGGGCATGAATTGATGTGGACAGCAAGCCAGGTACACAGCAGGTGCCTCAGCAGAGGTCACACATCTTGGATCCCTTGGCTTAGTGCAGGGACCACCAGGCACGTGAAGAGCTGGGGAAGGGCTGGGAGGAAATTGACAGAACCTGGGATGGGGCAGCTCAGGACCAGGGCAGTGTTCTAAACATGCCCGTGTCCATGAAGAAGGGATATTTCCTGAGCCAAAAGAACAGCGAACACAGACCAGGGCCACTTTTCCCCATTTTGGGTTCCTCTAAAACGAAGCCGAGGATGGTGGAGCAGGAGCCCTTGCCAACTGTGGGGGCGGGTAGGAAGCTGTCACTATGTCAACCCAACCCACATTCTGGGCCAGAGCAAGCTCTAGGGGGTGTCGGGTTGTCTCCAGGTGGGAGACAGGCTCCAACCCAAACTTTTCCATGCTTATCCTCCTTGCCATCCTGGAGGCAGGAATTCTAGTAGGGCTTCCTCCTGAACAGCTCAGCATCCTGCATGCTGATTGATGCGTGAATCCCAGTTCAGTGGGGGCAGCTGTCAGGAGAAACAGGAGGGGTATGCGAAGCTGAATTGGTTGAGCTGGGGCGCCTTGGGCTCCGGTATAGCAGCGGGTGCCGTTTAGGTAGTGTTGGGTCTTGGAAGCACAGCTGTCTCTTCTCATCCTATGATGAGGGTGAGGGAACCCAGGAAGTCTCGATGACTTTCTAACCATGGGACTTAGGGGCAGACACAGGACTGGTGTCTGGGTTTTCTGATGGTGCAACCAGATCCTCCTCCTGATTGAAGAATCGAGAAGTTTTCTGGACTCTGTCTTTATCTCTCATCCTGGCCTTCTGGGTTGCTGTGGACGAGGACCAATCTCGCTAGCCAAGTGCCCTTGGCAGCTGGGTCTCTGAGGAGTTCTGCAGATAGAAGTGAGGTGTTTGCTTGTGGACCGCTGAGGGAACTTGGGGGCAGTGAAAAGAAACCTCCTCACCCTTAGCAAGAGTGGAAGTGATGGGAGAAGGGTGTTTCTAATCTGAAAGACAAAATACAGGAAAGGTTTAATAAAGGTTCTTTCTTTCAGAAAGAACAAAATACTGGCCCTTCCAAGATGCTGGAATTTTTTTGAGTTGTGTTTAATTTTGACACACTTACATGTAGTTCCTAGCACCAAGGCCCAATAAGACATTCATTCATTCTCCAGTACTGCCTGAGTGCCACCCAGGTGCCAGGCTATGTGCCCATCAGGGGTACTCTGTGCACAGTAGATGAGGCGACCCAAGCAAAACACTTAGCTCAGTGCCCACAACTGGGCAAGGACTCAGTACCTGTTTGATACTATTATTAATATTAAGTAGTTTTCCTTTTCCTAAAATTTTCCATGAAAATCATCCTTACATAATCGTACTTACATTGGATTCTCTCTTTAATGTCAGAAAGCCCTCACTGCACCCTGCCCCCATTGCAGCCAGCTTGGGCACACACCACCATCCCAGGAGGCCCCAGCCTGCTTGCCAAAGGGCTCACTTTGTCCCCACCGGCCCTCTCCAGGCCCCAGAAGGAGCTCCAGGAGCACATGGCACTCAAGGCAGACCCAAGTTCAAATCCCAGCACAGCCACTCAGGAACTATGTGGCCTTGGTGAGATTAGTGAGTCTCCCTGAGGCTGACTTTTCTTTTCTCTAAAAATGAGAGAAAAACCTCCAGGAATGGGCTTTTGCAAGAATTAAGACGTAAGCTGGGCACGGCAGGCAGACCTGTAACGGCACACCGTCACAGAGCAGGAGGATCATAAGTTCAAGGAGTCTATCAGGAGATTGACTCAAAAAAACAAGACATAATGTGGGTGGTTTGTCCTCCCTGGGCCCCAACGATCTGGATTGCTTGGCTGGGACAGCTCCTAGGCCCCCTTGGGGGTCACAAGCTGTGAAGTCAGGATGGTATGAGTTTGGAATGTTCTCTTAGCCAGAGATGGTAGCGCAACTTTTAGTGTGGGAAAGCCCACATGCCTATGCGTGAAGTCTCGCTCTTAGTCTATCTCTGTAGGAGCATGTAGGACATGATGTGTCCCGCTGTGGCCTGTGACATGGATTTAGTGGGGCTTTTAATAAAACAGGAAACAAAAAAGCTTGTAGTGCCTCCCGTGTAGCTAAGGGTAAAATTGCTAGAAATTTTTATTTGCTGTTGTGTATTTTACAGCTCTTTTTGAGGGTGTGAGTGTTCATGGCATATATATATATATATATGTAAATGCATGCAAATTTAATATTTGTATAATGTGTTTCTTGCTGCAAGTTGTGGTCAGAGAAAGTTTAAAAGACATTAGTCGCCTGATGCTATTTCTGTCTCTGGGAAGTTCCTGCCTTGTGGGTCCAGGTGGCAGGCATCCGGGGTACGCTTGCTATGGCTGTACCAACACCTGCCTGACCCTTAACATCCAGGAGTGAAGGCAGCTAGAGGTGGAAGCCTGGGGTGAGGATAAAATGAAAGCTCCAGTAAGGGGACTCAGTGTCTGAGAAGGAGCAAGGCAAAGGGATCCTGCTTACAAGTAGCACTGGGAGGGGTCAGTTGAGTGCTGCTCTGGGAAGGGGTCCGAGGGTAGGAGCACATCTTGTCACTCTCTCTGCATCTGTCCTCTCCCCATGAAAGGGTCCGGGCAGAGTAGAGCTGGAGAGGGAGCAGGAGTGCAGTAAGAGGACCGGAGAGAGGGGGAATTTGTAGGGAAACCGCTAAAACAGTTCCTTTTTTCAAAAGTTGAATCCAGGGCAAGAACGGAAATGCTTGAGTTTACTTTTAAAAACTCAGAGCCTCCTTGTAAGCAGCGGAGTGTATGCTCGTGTGCACACCCGTGTGTGTGTGTGTGTGTGTGTGTGTGTGTGTGTGTACTGGAGGGCGGGCCCTGCGGGCTGGCTGGGGTATGTAAGAGGCAACTTTGCTCACTCTCAATAGCCTTTCAGTGTATCCTAAAGAAGCTTTTTGTTAAACTCATGAATAGGTGGATTTGGGGTGTGTGATGCTGGGCATCATGATTTGGATATTTGGTTACCTTTGAGGTTACATGCTTTTCCTTTTAAGACGTCTATCCAATCCAAATTGGAGCCACGTCTGATTTTGCCGAGAGGGGCTGCCTGCTTCAGTAACTGATTTGATTTGAGGGGCAAGAGTAAGAAAAATAAAAGGGATGGGGCAGGTCAGCAGTGCCTGGCCTGGGGACCAGCCCCTCTCAGCCCTTTGACCTCTGGCTGTACCCAGATCAGATGCCCAGGGTCTCAGGGCCTGTCATCACCCTCATTTCAGAGTTCAGAAGGGGTCCCAAGACCCAGAGAAGGGAAGGACAGTACCCCAGGACAGCCCAGAGCAGATTGAAGGTGATCTGCATGAGAATCTAGATGTTCAGATCCTCATCCTAGAACACCCCACGTCCACCAGGATCATTCATTCATTTATCACTGGACTGTACTTCCTACTCACCAGGCATTATGCTCAGTGTGGTCTACACAGCAGGAATGAGCCAATTCACTCTTCCTGCCTTTTGCCTCTGTATCATCACCACCTACAGTGAGGAGGGGCTACATCAACTTGACCCTGACCCTCCTTGTATATAAAGCAGTTATTCTCATTTGGGGGGTTCTTTTACCTTCCAGCGAACTTAAGCCTCTTCCTGAAGGTATTTTATTTGTTTTTCATTGTCACAGTGTTGGGGACCAGGCACATTAGCATGTGGTAGAGACAAGCCAGGAAGCTGCCAAACATCTCAGGCTGGACAGGACACCCCATACACAGCCACACACACAAAGTAGAGAATCACACAGCCCCAAATGCCTGTCAGGCTAAAGCTGAGTAACAGCCCCACCTTCCTTCCGCTAGGGGCCTGGCCTTGCCTGATGTGTGCAGCAGCAGGGGGGTGGTGGCAGGAGTGAGGGCCTGGGCGACAGTGAAGACACCAACTGTGAAGGGGAAAGGGCAGGTCACCCGTGGCTAGTGGAGGGGACTTGGGCTTTGGCAGCCCAGATCTAGTTTGGAATCCTGATGTGTTTGCTCAGCCTATTTCTGCATCTGTGAAATGGACTTGCGAGGCAACGGTGAGGGTTCAAGATACAGCCAATAAAGAACCTGGCACGAAGCGGCCCTATAATGAAAAGGCAGATGATATTATCTTTGAGGCCTTTCAAGGTTCTGCTATGGAAAATTACAGCATCAACAGGTGCGGACCTGTGATCTTGAAGCCAAAGAAGGTTGCTGTTTGGGGCGGGGTGGCCATAGAGACAGCTTACTCTAGGAGGTGCGAGGCGGGTGGTGGCAGCATCTCCCCCCCACACACACACAGCCCAGCGGGAATGAGAACATCTGGGAGGGCTTGCTCATCCAGCAAGCCAGGTCTTCAGGTGCGCAGAGGGCGGGAGGACACCCCGACATGGCGTGGGTGGACCTGAGCTTTGGTTCTACAGGAAGGGAAGAAACCAAGTCACACAGGTCAGGATCCACTGAGACCCTACGGTCTAGGAAGATGCCTTGGGCAGTGCCCTGAAGAAGCCAAGGCAGGGACCTTTTGTTTTTGGTGTGTGCTGTTCCGAACCCAGTGCCAGGCACT